CCTCTGGTACCTGCCCACTATTCAAGGACTGACAAAATTGTAGCAAGTGGTTCACATATCCAATCTTTAACTTCCTTCAAAACCCTTGGGGAAATATTATCTGGCCCATATCATTTTATAAACTTCTCAATTTTTTTCTTAACCAGCTCAGAATTAATGCAGTCATCTTATTTGGTCTTGTTTCCATTTATCAACTGATGAAGATGTGGAATACTGCTTAAATCTTCATTAGTAAAAACCTAAGAAAAAGCTAAATTTAATAACCCAGCCATCTCATAATCATCAGTCACTAGCCTTCCTTTATCATCCCTCAAGGATCCTATCCCTATCCTAACATTTTGTTTCCCAATGATGTATTTAAAGAAATCCTTACTGTTACTTTTTACATTTTCATCCAACATTTTCTCATACATCCTTTTTGATGTCCTAATTTCCCATTTCACCAACTTTCTTGATCTTCTATAAGTCTCCTGTCATGCCATTCAATTTAAATTTCTTAAATTTATGATGCTTTTCTTTAATTTTATTTCTTAAACTTTTTGTGAGCCAACCTGGTTTTTCACTTGTAGCTACCCTTTTCTTTCTATTAGTAATATGTTTACATTGAATATTGGTTTTTATTTCCATAGTTCAATTTCAGAATAAGATTTTTGTAATTTGTTGGATATAGATGTGTTTCATATATATCATATTTAGAGTTACTTTGCTTGGTAATTTATACACCACTATTTTATTTTATTTTTTGATTGATAAATTATTAATACCTGTGAAATTTAAAATTATAAGAACAATCAAGTGGTAGAACTTATTAATCAGACTTTTTTAATGTAAAACCTTTCCACTTAATCAAAAAAGCTAAGAACAATTTTAGCAAGTAACTACTTTAAAAATTATTTACCACTCTGGTAGCAGTGACATACAACACAAACTGTAGAACTAAATGCTATTATATATATATATATTCTTTTTACTGGAAATCTGTATTGGGCCAGTCCAAAATTATATGATTTAAATCATTATTGGTCTTACTGTGATATTATATCACTAATATAATGATTTTGGTAGTTAATGTATTGTACACTCTGAAACTTGAAGATATGTTTTTGTTCACACAATACTTTGCCTGGCATGGCCAGGTGGTTAGGTAGCTCGACTCGCAATCTGAGGGTCGTGAGTTTGAATCCCACCAAACCTGCTTTCCCCTTTCAGCCATGGGGTCATTATAATGTGATGGTCAATCCCACTATTAATTGGTAAAAGAGTAGCCCAAGAGTTGGCAGTGGGTGGTGATGACTAGCTGCCTTCCCTCTAGTCTTACACTGCTAAATTAGGGACAGCTAGTGCAGATAGCCTTCGTGTAGCTTTGCATAAAATTTAAAACGAACAAACATACAATTCATATCTACACTAAGTTGACTGAATCCATACCCTTTTGGCCTCATTTCCAAATGGATATCATTCTGGATTATGTTACATGCTGTTGCCTAGAGCACGTAAATGGCTTTTGCCACTGACCTTTGTGTTCATGGAGTCTCTCCCATTATTGGATGATGCATGATGCTTACAATGACTGGGGTATGATATGTTGCATGTTTTTTTCTGGATGGTTCAGGTGCCCCAAGTTGATCCGTATTCCTTTGTTTTCCATCTCCATCTTGGAAATTCTAAATCCTTGATCTGTACACATTTTTATGATCTGAGTGTGTGAAAACTGGAAAAGGCTTTTACATAATCTTTCCAAAAGCAGTCAAATTTGGGTGGCATCGCACTAGCTACAAAATCCCAAGAAATGTCAAAAATGTAGTTCTGCTACATGTCACTTTTCTGTTACATTGTATCAATTGGAGTTATAATGTGAAATATTGATTTTCATATTAAAAAAATGTTTTAATATAATATATTCAATCCTCTGTGTTACTCATATAATTTTGTACAGATAGTAACACCCAACAGGCATTAATGTATGGTCATTTGAAAGCAAATAACAAATCTTCAAAAGATTTATTGAACAAACTGCCATTAATTGTGGTTACAATCACACGCATGTTAATATTATGAATTATAAGTTATGGAACATCAAGAGGCCATTTGACAATTTGTTTTATAGATTTACCATTCTGCTTCAAACTGAGATGTTTCTGACTTTTCTAGATCTTAAATATATGACCTCTTGCTCCCAGAATTGATCATAAACAATCAGATGTATCAATCATATTAATGCCTCTAATAATTTTGAATATTTCAATTGGATCATCCCTAATCTTTCTCTTTTCAGTATCTCTTCTCTAAACCCCCTCTAACAAAGTCTTTTGTAAGATAAAGGAACAAAACTGCATACAATACACCAAATGATACCTAATTATAATGTACTTTATTAACTTATATAATGAAAATGTTGTTTTAGCTTTATCACTTGCAAGAGAACATTACATTAAGGGCTTAAGAGTTGTATCAACCAATATCCCAAGCTTCTTTTCCTCATCCATGTTATTATGAGGATTCCCATCTAAGTTATAAAATTTATATATATTAAAACCTGTATATTTAGCTTTACACATATCATAATTCAACACCATCTGTTATGTAATTGTTGAACTAACCAACTTATCAACATACAAGTCTTTCTGTAAAATAATGGCATCTTCATTATATCCAGCCAGACATAAAGTTTTTAGAGCATCAGTAAATTTAACCAATTCCCCAGCTTTACACTCACTTCATTAGCATAATTTATTGAGCAGTCACTCATTTGAGTTATAAGGGTATGTATCATGCTATTAAGTAACTAGGAGTCTCTCTTTATTGTTTATCATGTGATTTAATTTATACAGTATGGATGTCAAGAATATTTGTCACTATTGAATATGATTGTAACTACTACATGAAATATTATGAGTCTTGTATTAGGAAAAGAAAGTAATCAACTTCTGGTTTTTCTTTTAAATACAATAATATTACCCAGGACTTGTTTTATTTTATCTAATTCTCAGGTAAAAAATTTAACTATTTTTAACACTGAGATGTTAAGAGTATAACAAGTTTGCTTGCAGTGCCAGGTAGTTTTAACCTTTGTAATGAACATCTAAAAGAACATAATCAGTGAAGTCTATTCTAATAGACAAGAATACTTTTTTTAATATCCACTTTGATTTACAGTCATGATGTAATGCTTATTTTAAGGCATTTCAGAAATTAGCGTGTCAGTGTGGCTAAATTGAAACTGTTGAAATCCAAGTGTTGGAGGGTGAACTTAGAAAACAATGATAACAATGTATCTTGAGAAAATATTTATACAGTGTATCCAACATATATGCATACTGAAATTATATATAAATCAAAATATGTATGATAAACATTTAAGTTTCTATAATTTGTATGATACATTGAGACTGCTCATTATTTGAAGTTTTTGTTATTTTCACTCATGGAAACCTCTAAATGCTTTTGGTGTCATACTACATATCCTTGTTTATAGTAAATTAACCAGAGAGTTAGTCTTCTCTGAACTAAAACTTCCTTAAGTAAATGTGAACTTATAATAAACTGAATGTTTTATATGCATACTCATTGGTTAATTCAGTGTAATTTGTTCATATATCTTTTTGACTTGCAGATTTGAGCTCATTGAAAGAAACTTCATGTCTAGGTGTGATCTATGGGATTGTTGGAAAATTTCAAGTTCATCCAGGTGTGTATGCATGTAATAATGTACATTATTTATAAACTGTAATTATATCATATTCATTATATTTACAAGTATACAGTAAACTTGTAGCTTAAGATCTTTGTGAGTTAGGGTTGTCTTCAGTAGTTCAAACTGTCATTTTTCACTTTTTGTATTCAGTTGGAGAAACCTATTAGAAAATTTTCAAGAGTTTACTTGTGCTCTATTTTGTGCATAGGTGAATGTAATTAGTTACTTGTATAGTTGTGATTTATTTTGCTTATACCTCTAACAGATATGCACAATTTCTGTTTATTACTCCTATATCTTGAAAAACTCCAAGAAATTAAAATGCCTTGTTAAGTCATGGTTTCCAGTTGATAATTGTTGGTAATACTGCTTCCCTTGACAGTAATAACTGCTTTAAAAATTTAAGTTAATTATTAATACTTCATTGGCCATCTATACATACTTTTTTTCATGGCTTCTTTTCTATTTAATTTTGGGTAGTTTTTGCAGTATGACAACTGGTTTATTCCAGCATTATATCTAGCAAAGGTTAGGCCTATAAAAACATGGTTACAGTTCACCCCTGTCCTTATTTGTTTACTGTTGACCATAAATTTTTAGATATTTTGTTCTCTTAAAGAATAAAAAATTATACTTTAATTTAGAAAAATTTAGCTGATAAAAAAAAAACTACTTAGTTTAACTCCCTTAATTTTTTAGTTCAAACCTGACACCACACTTTTTGTGTTTTTAGGGAAGTACATGGATACACATATTAAACTTAACTTTGTAAGCTGAAAATTTGCCAATCATCACCAACTTTCAAAACTAATTGAAGATCATAATGCAAGTACTTCATTTGTTACTAATTTTCATGTATTTTTTTCTGATTATTGGTTATTTTGATGTAAGCTAGACAGACTTGCAAAATTAAAAATCAGGTTAGGCATATTGACTTAAAAATAATAAACAGAGGAATGAAGTTTTAAGGTGTATGCCTCAAAATTTTAATCACATTTTTTTGTAAGAATTTTGTTCGCTGTTATGTATCTTTGTCCATGTTTATAACCAGGAAAGTTTGGTGTTGGGCTTATTTTATTAATAATTTAAAATTGTGAAAAGATGTTTATGCTTGTTAAGTAAAAAAATTGTCACTGACTTGTAAAATGGTGTTTCTTTTATTAAAAGTTTATTAAATAAAGGAAGATCTCTTATTAGACTAATCATGAATGTATAATAAAAATAAAAAACGGATTATTATCATATTAATGCATTTTTTATTTGAGCTATTCTTTTCCTGATCCACAGTTTCCATTTTTCATAATAGATTGCAAGAGACTAATTGTGATTCGACAGAAAGCCCTCGTTGGGCAACTACTGGACACTCATAACATTTATAAGATACAGAAGATTGCTTTGCTACCGTTAAGTCAAAATGAAGTTCCTGATCTGAATTTTGAGGTATACAACAATTACAGTTATTAAACAAAATCTTGTTTTTACTCTGTAGAAAAAAAAGTTAGTCTAAGATAACAATGGTGCATTTATTTTAAAAGATAATTATGTTATAATTCGACTATTATTATGCTAAATTCTGCTAATAAGCTTTAGTGGATAATTTATTGTATGTTGCTTCCCAGTAATTTTGTATAAATTTTATGTTTTTGTTTTCCCAAGACATCAACTTTTAAACTTTTTTTTTATATAGTAATGTTTTTTTCAGTTTATTAATGTGACCTATACCAGTTTCCTTTTTGAGTAACAGTTTCTCAAAGTAGCAATATGTAACAATGTTATCCAATTGTTTAACATAATTTGAAACATACGATGATCTGTATAATAGCTCCTTCAGAGAAATAGCTTAATGCTGGTGTTAATAGACTTCTGGTGTCCATGCTTTAGCTTATTATGATGAGGGAGGGTACTCTTGTTCATAATAATATTCTTGCAAATAACCAAATATTTTCCTTGCAATTGTATGTAGTTATATATTTGATCTTTGGGAAAGTTCAACTGTAAGTGTTTGTTTGTCCATGGCAGCTCTTCAGGGAGGTTTCCCCATGGGCATTCAGAGATGAGCCATTGCTCTTCCTTAGCATCTTTGTTTTTTCTTTTCTTTTGTCTCAGTACAATGTGGGTTTTCAGCATCATCAGCTGATAGGCCAGATGGTCACATGCCCACTCCCACCTATGGGAAGACCAAAAGCTCTGAGTTAGAAGAGACCAAGACCACAACACAGTATATTTATTACTATAAAGTGTAATGTTACAAATGAGAAACATAACAATATTTACAGTTAAAAGTGGAATTGAAGAAAATACAACAAAGAAAGGAAATAACACATAAAATGTTGGTTTTTTTTTTCCCTTAAACATGGGAGGAATTTAGATTTTAAGGAAACTGGATTTTCTCCAACTGGGGATGTTTGGAGATATTGCCATAAAATCATTTCCACTTATGTTAATTATATTTAATGAAAGTGAACTTCTACTTTATACTATTTAAGAAATGTTTCTAAATGTTACCACATATATTTCTTAAAAGAATTTAAAATTTTGATCAAAGATACCACAATCTAGATTTGGATAAAGACTAAAGGTAAAATTGATGAGTTGGTAAATGGAAAAGAGAGTGAAGTGAAGGCCAGGGTTGTAGACTTAATTGATGACAAGTAACAAATGGCCTCTTAACAGGGTCACAGAGAAGCGAGGATCAACAAATCCAATGCCACAGAATTAGATATGGGGTAATGGGGAACCTTTGGAAAAACCCACTTTCACAAGACAGTCACTAAATATTCTACCTGTCTTGTGTCCAAGCTGAAAAAAATCATAACAGTTAATGTAGGATTTCATGTATATATGTGTGTGTGTGTGTAACTGTATGGTTAGTTTTGGTGTGCTATGTTTATTTGTAGTATAGGTTGTATGGCAATATTGTTTTGTGTGGCATGTTCAAAAGTATGTGGAGGGCAGAGATTAGTGTTTGTAGTTTCATCTTTACAGTAACAATTATTTGCTAATGAAGTTAATCTTTATTTTATTAGTATTAAATTACTTGTTTTGTGTAAGTAACTAACTGGAGTAAAATGAGGCAACCTTAGGGCTGATCTTAGTACTCTGTGCTGCTCTAATTGTAATTTTTTTTAAGAATGCTGTCAGACATATCAAATGTGATTTTGCATTCATATTCAATTAATAGGCATGTATATGCTTTATAAATTTTTAAAATTGATCCGGGATATCAACATTTATTTGTATCTGCAATCAGTCTTAAATAGAATGTTTGCTAGTGGACATGTTAATGTTCTTTATGTGTTCTGCCCATGTGAGTTGTCTATCAAAAGTAATACCAAGAAATTTGGCACTAGAACATAATTTAATTTCAATGTTACCTAATTTTAACATTACCTTTTTAACATTTTTTAAATGTTCATTCAAATCCCTACAGAAAATAATACCTTGTGTTTTAAAAGGGTTAAGCATAATCCACAAATCATTACACCAGTCAGTAACTTCATCTAAAGATTTGTATGCTCTGTCTGCTTCTATGAGTGGGTTATATGACACACTCCAAGCAGCAATGTCATCTGCGTGTTAAACCAGGGAATGGAATGTGGAGGAGTGATGCAAGGGCTGAGCCTTGCAGAACTTCTGCTGTAATGTTGATTATCTGTAAAACTGTTGTTTACTTTGACCACCACAGTGCAGTTTATTAAAACATGATATCGAAAGCTTTTCATACAGAAAGCTACTGTAGTAGCCTGATTGTTTTTAAATGATTTAAAACTGATTTGAGGAGTCTCATTAACTCAGTGACTACCGGCTACTAACTATCTTAGTAGGCAATGCAAGTCTTGCTATATTTCATTCCAACAATAAAACTAGTGGACGAATATTTTCGAAAATTCATAAGTACTTTGACAAATGTAGGTAGTTTAAGAAACATTAAGCCTATTTCTTTTAATAAATTTAGTTTGTTTGCATTATGATCTTTAATATCTTGGAAAATTACATTAGGAAATCGTATTTATAAGAAATGATTACAATATTTATATTTGCTACAGCTTTGAACTTATTACTTTTAATGTTTTAGTACATTATTTTGAAATCCCCAAAAAATTGTATCCTCCATAAAATGCAAATTTTATCTATTTTTAATTTTTCTAATAATCACGTATACTTCTTATGGTTTCAAGTAATATACAGATCCGTAAATAATATTTGTAAATAAACCTAAACAATAAATGAGTATTTTTATTTTTAACTAGGATTTCATGTTTATTTATGTACATAAAAACATATTAATTTTGTTTCATAAATATATTTTTATTTCAAATTTATGTTTATGTTTCATTACAGTCGTACTTTTGTGTTTATTGTGCCGAATAAACCGTGGGGTCAGCAGCATGAACTTTGTACGTTGTCCGTAAACTATCTCACACTTTTTGGTGTTCACTCGTTCAACCGAGCGCGTGCGCATTTGAACGTTACTGTAGATATCATAGTAAGAAAGCTTTTCGGTACTTGAATATCATTTCTTTGAACTTTCAAACAAGTTTATTTCAACATATGTCTGTGTATGTTGTTTCAGAATAGAGACAAAACTAATTGCCACTACTAACAAATGTATGTAACAGTTTATAGTACAGTTGGTTTCAATAAACACCGCCAAGCCTGACCCCTTGTTACTTGATACCTCCTGTTAGAAGAGATTACCAAACGATACACACACCATAAATTACAAACCAAAT